ATCCATATCCACTGCAAACAGTGAGAGGAAGGTCTCCGCGTGCTCGACCATTAAGTCTGACCACCAAGCAAAGGCCTTCAGAGTTGGTAGAAAAAGATAATAAAGAAGTATATTAGTTCTAATAAAACACAGGGAAAGACGTTAGGCCACATATCTCTAAAAAAATGTGCATCCCATGGAAACTACCTTTATTGTAAAGAGAACAGTGCTTTGAAGTGCTAGCCTGCACAGGCAGCGCTAATCACAGGAATTAGGCACTGCTATTTTAATACAAAGGTTTCTTGTAGAGGATCTATTCAGAGCTCCACCGCAAAGGCACGCAGCTGTAACGCGGCAGAGAAGGTTTTGTCTGTTCAATTTACAATAAATGACTTCAATCATCTTTATTTATGCTAATTATCAGGAAACAATCAAGTAATTCTTATTCTAAAGTATAGAAATTTGGGAGTTTCTTCACTGTGCTTGTGGGTTTTCTGCTGTGTTTTTCAACAGTTTAAATTTTATTTGGATTCACTACTTCTATTTGTCTTGAAAAACTAGAAGCCTAAGACATTTAAATCCGTCCCAAATCACTCACGCTCTCCTTCAGAGATATTTCAAACCAGCAAAAGTTGTTCCAGCACTGTTCATTTTACATGGTTAGCTACACACATCCATAGAAACACACTACCACCTTCATAAAGCTACTGATTAGGAAACCAATTACAAAGCTCTATCATCAACATGCCAAGATAAAAAAAAATATCTACGGCAAGCCTATATTTTCACAGAGGCAGGAAAAAATATATCTAAACTTGAAAACCAAAAAATATCGGTGAAGTAACTCATTCTCATGCACATGGGTCCTTAAAATTCACTGTACGGGCTCTCTGACGTGACATTCACATCATACATGGCTCAGATGTGAATGCTGCAAACGCATGCATGCGTGTTTAGTAATCACTTCTGGCTGGGAACATGCAATATGAGAAGTGCTGTCGTTAGGACCATGTGCTGTCATTTTGAAGTGACAGGATATTACTCAGGGATTTAAAGGATCTAAGAAACAGCTTTCCGGCACTTTGCAGGGGAAGGAAACTTCTAGCATAGGCACAAGACTGGCGATGAAACGGAAAGGACTGGGAATAGATGAAGCAGTTCGAAGAGGAATTGCCAGTCAGGGAGGGGTGTTGTTTGCAGATTTTCGCAGACAGGAATAAGCAGAACAGACTTTGACTTTCTCAGGGTTCAGTTTTGATTCACTGATGAAGAACCGCACTGATGTGGACAACTCCAGCTGCTGCTTCGCTCGGCCACGGAGCGGGAGCAGTGCCCCACAACCAGGGTACTGCCACGGACCCCTTTAATTCTTGCTATTTGGGCCCGACTTCTCAGCTGCCAGTGATATCTGCAGGGGGTCTTTGGGACTATTTCCACTCCTTTGTTCCCCCCAAATATAAAGTGGGCTGACATGGCCTTGCTATTATTCCATGAGTTGATATAAAACTGGTGTTAAGACATACATCGGTTGGACGTGGCGCTGTGTTACGAGCCCGGAGCACATCCAAGATGTAAAATAACCAAAATAACCGACCCCCCCCCAAATAATCTTAGCATTGGGCGTGCTCTGTCATGGGGGTGACGATGCGGATGAGGTGGGCTGTGCCGTGAAGGCTTCGGCGCACCCAGGGGTAGGCCGGGCAAACGCCGTGCCCCGAGCAGCAACACCAGCAGGTTCCCGTGTCCCTGTGCTCATGGCATGGGGACAAGGTGGCTGCACCAGGCTCCAGCCTGCCCCAGCCCCACGCACACGGAGGGAGCCGTCGGGCACCGATGCAGCAGCGCCTGCCTGGGGGTGCTTGGAAAGCTCAGGGGCCGCGGTGACGGCGGCCATGGGCGTTCGCAGAGTCGTTACTCTGGCGGTGAGGGAGCCCGGAGGGCTGAGCGCGCGTGGCAATGCTCTTGGCTCTTCCTCTGACGTTTGGTGCTGGTCTCCGACGGAGCGCACCGCCGGACGCCGGGCAGCGCCGCCTCGGGAGGTGTCGCGCCGCTGCGAAACCACCCAGGAACCGAAAACACCAAGACCCAGGTCTGCTCCTGATGCCTCCTCAAACCTTCTCCTCAAGCACAGGCGGGAAACGAGCAGACGCTGAGCCACGGGGCTGCGGGGGGATCCTCTTAAAACCAGCAGCGCTCGTCTGTGGTTTTCAAGGAGGATGCCGGGCTGTCCTGGTGCTGGCGTGGCTTCTCTGGCTGTGCCTCCGGGTGCCACGAGCCCGCCACGCTGTGTCCCCATCG